GCGTCAATTGTATTTCAGTTGTGTAAGTTCAATTTCAGAAAGTGTTATTTGTATTTCAACTTTGTCAGTTGTACTTCAGAAAACATCATTTGTGTTTGAGATTGGTCAATTATATTTCAGAAATCGTCATTTGGGTTTCAGATTATTTATTTGTAGATCAGAAATTGTAAATTGTATTTCAGAATTCGTCAAATGTATTTCAGATATTATCAATGTAGTGTATTAAATAAAATTTATAATGAGTCACCTATACACCTATCTTGTGTTGATTTGGGAAAATCTGCGTACTTAGATACCTGATGATTTCAGAACTACATCTGACAATTTCTGAAATATAATTTAGGTTTTCTAAACTACCATGAACTGATCTGATATACAATTGACGCTTTCCGATATAAAATTATCAAATCTGAAATACAATTGAGACTTTCTGAAATAAAATAAACTAATCTGAAATACAATTGACTATTTCCCAAATAAAATTAACTAATCCGAAATACAATTGACGCTTTCTGAAATACAATTTACTAATCTCGATTGCAATTGACGCTTTCTGAAATTAAACTGACGATCTCTGAAATACATATGGAAAAGGTGTAGTTTCTTGTGAATTTTTTTGAAATTTCACGAGAATTTTGATTTTTGTTGCAGGAATTTCTTAAAATTTCGCTAGAATTCCAAATAATTTCAGGAGAAGTTCAAGTAATTTTATTTCAGTAAACTTACCTAAGAAATTTCAGAATAATTTTTTGGAAATTCGAGTGATTTTACAGGATTTTTTTGAAATTTCAATGAAATTTCAAGTACATTATTTTCTAGTTAATCCGTAGGAAGATTTTTTTTTTCAATTCCACGGGAATTCGAAGCAACTTTAAAGAAATTTTCTAAAATTTCACATTTTTTTTTTTAAATTCCACTAAAATTACAATTTACTCCACAGGAATATTGCTAAAGTATTGAGTAATTCCACAAGAACTTTTCGGAATTTCACGAGAATTTCATATTATTTCAGAATTTCACTTAAATTTTGAGTTATAATTTCACGAGAATAATTTCACCGAACTTTTAAATAATTTTACAAGAATTAATTAAAATTTCACGAGAATTTCATGTAATTTTTACAGGAATTTTCTGGAATTCAAGGAAAATTTATGGAATTTCATCGGAATTCCACTGAAATCCCAAATAATTTCACAAGATTTATGATACTTGAGTAAGTTGTTAGTACCTTATTACTTATAAGTTATTTCAAATTTCAGTTATTATTATTAATTGATTAATAAAAATTTGCCTGAATTTTGAAGTATAGGGTATAATTTAGCGCAACCGTCACGACCGACGGTGTCATGGTCTCTGAAATGTACTGAAAAAATTATTTTTTCTTAGTAAATTTAAAAAAAAAAAATTGTACACCAGAATTCCATAAAAATTCTCTGGAATTCTACTAAAAATCCATGTAATTTCGAGGAAATTTTTTGTAATTGCAAGAAGTTTCACAGGAATTTCTCGGAAATTCACAGGAATTTTAAATAATATATTTTTTTTTTTTGGAATTTCACGAGAATAATTTAAAATTTTGAAGAAATTACTTGGAACTCCAGGAAAATTATTGGAATTTCATCGGAATTTCATAATTTTACCGGAATTCCATATATTTTTGTTTGGAGCTCTACGTCGTATCCCTGGAATTTTAATAATTTTTACTGGAATTTTATTTAATTGCACACGATTTTTATGGAATTCCGCATAATTTCCAAGTAATTCCGCATAATTTCAGTAGAAGTTTGCATAGTTTCTATAGGATATTGCATCTTTTCTATAGAATTCCGCAGAAATTCTCCGGACTTTTGCATAGTTTCTATAAAATTTCGCATAATTTTTATGGAATTCTCTACAACTTAAATCCACATAATTTTTATGGGATTTTGATTTTTTTTAAAACTCAAGGCTTTTTTGGAATGTCATTTTCCATTTAATTTCACTAGAATTCCGCATAATTTTAATGGGATTTGGCATATTTTCAATGAAATTCTGCATACTTTGTATATAATTAGGCATCATTTCCATGGTATTCAGCACAATTTCTATGACTTTTTATGTAATTTAGTTGAAACAACGATTTTTTTTGGAATTCTACACCATTTTCCCAAAATTCCATTTAATTTCACTGAATTTTCGCATAACTTTTATAGAATTTTGCATAATTTCTATACAAACCTATGTATTTTTTTTTTTAATTAAACGTTTTTTTTTTCTATGGAATTCAGCATAATTTCAATAAAATTTTGCAAAATTCCTATAGAATTCCATGTAATTTTTCTAAAATTAATTATTTTTTCTTTGGAATTCCATGTCATTAAGTACTCTTTTTATTTCACTTGAATTCCGCATAAGTTTGATGGAATTTAGCATACCAATTTGAAATTCTATATTATTTCAATAGAATTCCGCGTAACCTTTAGGGAATTCCACATAATTCCTATGTAATTTTGCTTAAATTTAACATTTTTTCTTTTTTTTGAAATTGGTCGTCATTTCTCGGATATTTTATTATATAGGTATTTTCGCATAATTTCTATCAAATTTCACATAATTCTAATATAATTACAATAAAATTTCGCAAAATTTCTTTAACATTACTCATAATTTAAATAGAATGCTGCCTAAATTGCTCACGTCTTTGTTAAATTTAGAGCAAATTGAAATAAATCATATATAAATTCTCTATAAATCTGTGTAAATTTGATAGCTCAAATAGTTTTTGAGCAATTAACCCTCAAATTTGACTTTTAGTCCAACTTTTGTCAAAAACTTTAAAACTCAATTTGCTCAAAAATTATAAATCTGAAAATATTGTAAATTACAGGCCATTTAGAGGTCAATAAGAGCTACAAAAGCTAAAAATTTCAATGCAATTTGCTCAACGGTTACCGAGCGTTTGCGGTATGAATATTTTTCAAAATCAGAATTCAAAGGGGGTACCCTTATGAAAACTTCGAGTTTTTTATTTTCTAGTTTTGCTCAATTTTAACTTCACCAATCGATAGAGCGGGTCAGAATTAGTGGAAAACAACCCTGACATCAATTCCAAATGGTCATTTTAAGCAGGAACAAAAAGAAAAAGAAAATCCTATTTTTGGCTCTGGAAAATTTTCAAAATCTTGACATGATCATGAACAATTGCCCATATCTTTGTTAAATTTTCAACAAATTGAAATAATTTATGCAACATTGGAAAGAGCATTTAATTCTCTATAAATCTGTGCAAAATTGAGATCGATAGCTCAAATAGTTTTTGAGCAATTGAGCCTCAAAGTTGACTTTTAGTCTAAATTTTGTCAAAAACTTCAAACTCAATTTGTTTAAAACTATAAATCTGGGAATATTGTAAATTACAGGCCATTTTTGGAGCTTAATAAGAGCTACAAATGCTGAAAATTTCAATGCAATTTGCTCAAAGGTTTAAGGATTTTGAAATCAGAATTCAAACAGTGTTGGCGTAATGGTTGATATTTTAGAATCACCTTCGGAGTTACGTGGACTGTAAGCGCAACTAATGAATATGTAGCAAAAAATAACCATACAAAAGACAATATGATAAAAGGCGCCTTACCTGTGGTTCTGGGGTTCTTCTAGTTCAAAGTTAATTGTTAATACCGGGATCCCGGGTTTTGTTTCGGGTGCACAACACTACCGGCTTTTATTTCGAAACCGGTAACCGGCGAGCTCGCGAATTCATCGACTTTCTTGTGTGCGAAAACGGATTAAAAAATGTGTGTTCGTGTTTCGTGTTTGGCGAAAAGAGAGAGAGTGTTTTGCAGTCGCTTGGCTGTACGAATCGAGTGTTTTTCGTACCTTTTTTGTCGACCTCGGTTCCATACCGAGGGCGCTGTTGTTCCCTGCATAGGAGGCGCTATACGTATTTGAATTTGTATGGTTTTTCAATATGAGCAAAATTCGTGACTTTGACACTCTTGAAGAGATGCACATACAAACAGCTTCAACCAAAAAACTTTTCTGTAGCTTCAATCAAAAAACAACGTGCTTTTTCAATGATGGAACGGTTAAGTCTTTCAGCGTTACTATTTTATTCACCTGCGTAAAGAGCAGTGAGCTGATGTTGTCTACCAGCAGTTTTTAGCAAATTTGCTAAGTTCTTTGCTACAGTATTCTCCACCGTTGTCAGTTTTCAAGCATTTTGTTTTTTTTACCAGTCTGGGTTCCCACAAAATGTTGAAATACTCAACAACTTTATTTATTCTTCAAAAATCAATACTAGCGGTGCTCATCCGATCTGTCAGCCACATAGAGAACATCCCATGACCAAGCAATTAGAAGTTGTCATTAGTAGATAGTGCTTGGATAGGGAGTTGTTGAAGAGTCTTCAAGACCGTGGTCATCTCCAATTGTACTAGTATATGTATATTGTTTCTTGGTTTCATGGTCTCCCTTTTCTGGGCAGTAACAATCAGTCCAGTTCGCCTTGATTCTTTTCAGGACACTTAAAAGACGAAATAACTACTTCATTTTTCATTTCAAAATACTCAGCACTTGGACTTCTTTATTTTTTATTTTTTTCTCGAAATATCGACATTAAAGTCGAAGTGGGTTATTTCATTTTATTTGCCTCCGCCTTCTACAAAGCACTTAAACGTCAGTCCTGCTGTAATAAATAGCTCCATAAATATTAAGCAATCTAAACAACAGGCGAAAAATATTGTTTTCCTGGACACGAACGTCTCCGGAGGGACCTTGTAAAATAAAGTCCCATGACCATAACGGCTATTCATGTTCAAGTGATACGCTCAACGATCCTATCATTTTTTATTACTTTTAACATTTTACGAGGTTAACTTGAAACGAGCGAGACTTATGGGATTTTTCTTATATTAATTCAGAATTTGCATATTTTTATTATAATGAGGTGAGAAAATCCGGCAACATTGTCCAGATGAGACGAATGCACCTAGAAAATCTCAATGGAGTCAAACAGTAGCAGAGTGAAAATCAGGTGCGAGACGCGCGCGGTTTCCCTCGATTTTCCCGACGTTTGTTGGCGTAGGTTCGCGTGTGTTTTGCTTTCGATCTCCTCGGGAAAATTGTTGGACGGATATAAACAGGTTGGTTTCCCACGTTTGACAGCTGAGAATTTCTGTTTTAGCTAATCTTATCGCATACCGGATGAAAAAATACATATTAATATTTATTTTTTTGGAATGCTATAAAATATTCTTTCAAGAATTTTAATGATGTTTCAAAGTTATCAGTCAGAGTTTTTTAAATGATGGATGCAGATGAATGCTGTATAATTGAGGCTGCTTCCGTCAGCGTTTAGAAAATATGCAAAAAAAAAAAAACATTTATAATGATCTTCACATAATTTTTTGACAGTTCTAACAGCCAATTAAATTTTGTAATTTTTTGTCATGTGACAAAAATCACCCAACATTATACTAAAAACAGCCCTAGGGTGGTTTCCACTGTCGGACATTTAGCCACTTTTAGCGATTGAACAGTTGGTCATCTTGACAGATAAGCAATGCATTTAACGTCAATTAAGACCAATTGTTTGAAAAATGACGCATAATTAATAGTTTATCTGTCAAGATGATCGATCGGTTAATCGCTTAAAGGGGGTGTGACCTTAAAAAACAACTTGCTTCCAGAAAATAAAGAAAAAAATTCTAAGAACTCTTGTGAAAATCTCGCATCGCTACTCAAAATAATAAAGTAGATACACCTAAATAAAGGTTTGTCTATTCAACGCGTGACATCACAACCACGCGACGAGCGTGTTGGCCGGCTCAGGGGTCGTATTTTCGAATTCATTCGAGTACATTTCATTCACGAAATTTGATTGACAGCAATGTAAATTAAATGGGGAGCATTCGAAATCGGTATCAAATTTCGTATGCGAGAATATTCGAAAATACGACACCAGGGCGCGAGGCGCGTGTCATTACACGCTTAGAAGTAGTCTAAACTCTGTTTTTTTTTTAAAGATAAAAGTCAAAATGACATTATGTTGGCAATACAATGTGAAATTGTCAATGCTTCCAAATTTTTTATGTAGAAAAGGCTTGTGTTGCCAACATAGTTACTAAATTTTTGACTTGGGGAATTATCTTTAAAAAAAAAACAGACTTTATGTGTCAGAATGCATTTCTATAAGTCATTGGCGTGCCTACATAACAAGAAAAATCATTTTTATTTTCCCAAAATCTCTTGCCCTGCGCCTATAGGTAATAAAATCTACAAAAATACGCCTCGTAAAACCCGAAAACCCATTTTTTGGCGAAGGGAATTTTTAAGTCGACGGCTGAAAAGAGTTTTCGGCATGGGTTTTCTTCACTATGTCAGGGGTTTGAGGGACTGAATTCTTGATTCAAGACTTACGTCGATGAAGAATGAATGAAGTTAAAGTTCCCAGGATTGATTTGTTCAATTCAATTCAGACAATGGATTCGTTTTCTGTGAAGGCACTTATGGCCATTTCCACCAAACTATAACTAAGCTTTGATTAACTATGAAGCCCTTAAAAGTTAAGGGACGCTCAAATATAATTTCGTTCCACCATAGTTTTTGAGTGCACGCTTAGCTAAGTGTCGTAAAGCTTTGGCAACATTAAATTCTAAGTGAAATATTTGCGTACTTTTTCGTTTTCACATACAAGTCGTGTCAATGTTATCTGTCATTCGACGTTTCCCGCTAATTTTTATAAGATGAAAATAATAATATTAAAAATAATTGTTGCTGTTGTGCAGGTTCGGTTTATTTCATAGAGGAGAGGTTTAGATATTCGTAGTTTATTCTGCATTCTGCATTGCGTGTGAACGAACACGGAGGTATTTAGAGCGTGGAGTCGGGGAATAGAAACAAACATGAAGAGTTTATTCAAAAAAAGCCGGACACTCAACTACACAATAAAGGAAAAAGTGCCGCTATTAGATATTTTTTGTGATGCTGATTTTATTATTGAGCAAGCTGAAGCAGTTAAAAGATGCAGCAATTCTAAAGAAATATCTACCTCCAGCCATGCGTCTCAAGCTCAAAGTTCCTCCCCTGTGTCCAGTCCAGCAACTAAAAATAATGAAAATCCTAAATCTGCTGACCCGGAAATTTTTTATAATGATCCCCAACCCGGATGCTCTAGAAATGTTGATGACCTTCCTGCATTTTCCGAAAATATGAATACACAACCTGGATGTTGCAAGAGTTTCCCTGTCCCGACTTCTGGTCCGTCAAAATCACTCACGTTAGTGTCGCCTTTTGCGATTTCCCCAGTACCTTCCATACAAAAGAAAGTAACTAATCGTGGAAAAAATTCTTCTGTCTGAAATTATAACGTCTTTTCCATACAAAAATGACTTAGAAATTTCTGTTGAAAAAATAAAAAATATTGGTGAAAAGGGAAAAACGAAATGTGTTTGGCAAAACTTTGGTCAAGGGTAAATCGAAATCCCAACCAAAACCTCAAAAATCGAAGAAGACTGTTAAACCCTCTGAGTCTGAGAGTGAAGAGGATGGAATATTTATTCCTGATGATGAGGATAAAGATGTGGAAGAATTCGGAACCCTTCCTGAAAATGAAGATGCAACGGACCATCGTCACCAAAAGTATCTGGGACACAAATAATGCATAATAATCTCCTGGACTAATTCTACTGTCATTCAATTCAATGCATTTAATTCATAGTTTGACAAATATTTGACAATAAAATTTATATAATAGGACAAGAGCTAATGTGGATGCTGTCCCAGTTAGTTTTAGTGACGATGGTACATTTATTGTGAAAGACTTTTCTCTGAAGATGTCAAGGGCGAGTTGTGGGTTGTTTGATGTGTCATATGTGGTCACATGAGACTTTTGCGGACACAGAACGCGGCGAATATATTTGCGATTTTTGCAAATAAGTTTTTTTATGTCACATTCTTTAGAAATAATTTTTTTTTTCTACTACCGTGCGTCAATTACTCACTTTACACACTATTCAGAAGACGTGAAATTAGACTTCACGCACTAGTACGTAAAGTGAAAATACTTCATGCACTAGTGCGTAAAGTATTTGTCTAAATCTATTTTTCACACATTTGATTGGAAGTAGAAAAAATTTTGTATGCAATACGTGCGTAAAGCACCTTTGTTCACTCACGAGATTGTCACATTCGCCTTCGGCTCGTGCGTCAAAATTCACATTCGTGAAAAAAGATTCGCTTTACACACTTGTTGCATAAATAACTATCTTCACGGTTTGAGAAGACTTTTTGTTACTTTTATAGGGTGGCTCATATTTCAAGCACTTTACACAAATCTTAATTCACACTTTTTGTATGTTGAAAAACACAGAACTAATGGGTACATTCAGGCGGTCTCAGCGGCTTAGCTCAGCCTCTCAGCAGGAATTTTATTCTCGAAACCAAGGAATATCGTTCTCATAAGAATGATTACTCTGTCATTGTCAGTGTTATGCCGGACGACAAAGACAGAACCTTCGTTCCAATGAGAACGCTGTTCCTTGGTTTCGAGAATAAAGTTCCTGCTAAGAGCCTAAGCTAAGCCGCTGGGACCGCCTGAATGTATACCCAATGTTAACGATTTTTTCAAAAATGTGTTTATAACTATAAAGTAAATGCTCTTAGTAATTAATTTCCCAAGTTACAGATTAATTAGTCGAAAAAAACTAAAAAATATTTTCAAAAAAATGTGGCCCATATTCGGACCTTCTCCTCTATCAATAACATCAAAAAATGAGAACATAATCGAAAATAAAAATAAAAACAGACGGAGTATCTACACTAGAAATTAGAAAATTGAGATCATTATTTATCTCAATTCAATTTTAACGTTTGGTTGTGTCAACAAAAACATATATGATGCAAATTGCTTGCGCCTATCATCGCCACTTTGTTAAGGGAGGAATAAGCCTAGAAATGTCTAGGCTTAGTTAAGCTTATCTTAATGAGACTAGGTTAGACCGGTGGAAACAAAATTATAATATAAGCGGCACTTAACGTTAAGTAAACTTAAATTTGCGTTGGTGGAAACGGCCATTAGTTCAGTTGGTTTAGCGCTTATCGTCCGAAATTTTTCTCCTTCAAGTAGGGTTGGGTAAATTTCACTTTTCACTTCATCTGGAAATTTCACTCTGAAATTTTCATGGAAATATTGAAATTTTTAAAATTTCCGTGAAATTTTCAACGTTTCTGAATTTTTCTGAAAATTTTGAAAATTTCGCGGAAATTTTCAAAATGAAATGATTCACTGTGAAATTTTCATATATAATATCACAAGAGAAAAAATTTTGTCGGCAAAATTTTCGAAAGGTATGAAAGTTTGTCGCTTGGCAATTTCGCGAATGACATTTTTGACAATTATTTAATTTTATCAAAAATGTCATGAGCGAAATTGCCGAAAAGCAACAAACTTGAATAAAACCTTGAGAACAATTTTGCCTACACAATTTTTTCTCGAGTGGTATTCGTCATGACTATTTCACGTAAGATTTTGAAATAAATAGAATGCAAAATTATGAATAAAAACTTCAAATTAAAAATACCAGTTTGACAATGTCAAAAGATGGTCGCTGAAATACCATGTTGTTGGTATTGTCCAGGTAGCGTTATTGTCAGGTGAATACCGAATTTATTGCTGGTATAATACACTCTAGTGAAATAGTCAATGAAATTTCATAAAATTCAATGAAATTTTCTATAAAATTCAATTATTGTGATGTGACATGACTAGGTGACTTTGTGTATTAGCTGTGGTATTAGTTTAGTATGGTATTTATGAGGTGGTGGTAGGGTAGGTACACACAAAAATAAATACGTAGGTATAGGTACAATGGCTAGACATTCTTCAGACATTTTATTCTGGCTTAAGTGTCGAATGTAAATAAATAATAGCTATTTTCCTAACAAGTGCGGGAGGAGGTATTGCCCACAAAAGTGTGTGAAACGCCCGAGTGCCGGAAATTTCTTCTCACAAGCTTCAGGGACTATATTTTTTCTGGAAGCGTACTAAAGGTGATGTTACAAAAAATATAATTTAAATAAAATGCGACTGTGCAGTAGGTAAATTTATAAATGTATTGAGAAGAAAACAACACACAAAACAAGA